GAAAACACTAGCGGGGTAACTACTGCAATAACCAACTCGACCCCATCCGTAAAAGGAACAATCAGCTAGACTGTCCTCCGTACCGGTACAGTCCACACCTGCCATCCATACAGGATCTGTTAGACGGCCATAACGGGTGGTACGATATATTTGCCGACCAGCACTGTAAGATAATAAAGAAAATGATTAGATTTTAAGAGATAAAGGTGAAAATTAATTAGCAATTTAAAAAATTAAGACAGCAGTTTGATATTCGCTATGCAATATAAATTCGTTGGTAATTCCTGGTTTACACGTCTATATTATCAATATTACTCATGTAACCATATTTTCTGTGCTTGCAATGTGCAGAAAAAGCCTATATTCAAAATCATCTTTCATTCAGGAAGTACATTTATCGATAATAATATCCAGAGAAAACGGTTGCTAACATAAGAATTACTAGCGGAAACAGTAAATTTTGCAAAGTTTATCGAATATCTCTCATATGTGTTAAGTTTATTTATGAGCAAACATGATGTCAATCCAATACGGGGGCCGCGGTGGCCAGGTTGTTAAGCCGTCTGACATTCTGCTACCACTAGCCCTCCACCACTGGGTCCCGGGTTCGAGGCCCACGTGGGGCTGTCGCCAGGTAATGGCCGTAGGTCAGAGGTTTTTCCTCCGGGGATTCCGGCTTTCCTCCACCACTAAAATCTTGCACGTAATTAAATGACCACCATAGCTGTTAATATGACGTAAAACACAAACAAACCAAACCAAGCTATCCAATACTGCGTGTGTCCTTCGTCGGCCGAGACCAATGTACATGCCCTCCTAACCACACAACCCATTAGCCGGTTTATTCTTTGAACTCGGATGCTATTTCATGCCTTCAGATTTGGCGCCCATCGGATTGGAATAACGACAAACCTCCAGTTTTCCAGGCAATACACTTCATGGCTATGTGAACGGTACCATTACAGAAGGCGTTGAGGTCGCTTTTGATTAAGGACGCCGTGGCTTTAAGTTGTAATCCCGCAACGGATTCCTGACCGCCCACGCGAACACACGGCGTCTGTGATTTCCAATGACATTGTTTGCCGTATTCGTCGGCGTTTGAAAACGGTCCTGGAGGTGAAACAGACGTATGTATCGCTCTGTCGTTACGTCGCAAATCTATGCATAAACATGATCCAGATGTGCGTTTAGTTCGTCAAATTAAGACTATCTCTCTCTCTCTCTCCCTCTCTCGCTCTCTCTTTCTCTTATTTGTCAATTTTATATCTCTATTCTTTCTTAAACATTGAGATTCGTTGGGATTTATATCCAACATTTTGATCCAAATTAATCGTTAGGCTTCAATTCATAAACAATAGCATCATCATCATCATTTTTTTTTTATATATTTAACTTTATCTTTCAGTTCATTGTAGTGTATCACTCTGAGTCATTGGCACTACATTTTTCCGAAAGTCGATATTGTTTTTTATTCAAAACTTTAAAATGCTTTGAAATAAGAAAGAGATATCTGACAGTTTAGTCCGAGACGTGAATCGATTGACATTTGAAAGATTAATGTAATATTTCTCAATGAATGTTGAAAACAATATTTATGGAATTTGAAACAATACAGACAATTATTTAGTAATTAAATATTCTGGAGAGATCCAACTACAATTCAACAGAAAGCTATATATAAAATTAAATATATATCTGAACACAAGTGACGTGAATGGAAGAAAACATTTTGCATTTTGTATAGTACATAAACGTGGAACATAATTTCTACCTATATCTGATTGCAATATTTACAGGACATGTTTCATACTACAAAGGATGACAACAGCAGCATGATTTTCGGTGCATTACCTGTATCCTAACATCTTGCACGTAACATTAGCGTCCCTGTCGTCCCAGTCGTATAGGCCACAAACATCTCCCCAGTAACCACTGTAGTACACTTCTACACGGCCCACATTGGGTTCCAGACCTCCACTCAGGCGGATGTCAAAGTCTGTTTCTGTTAGAAATTATATTTACATTAAGCAACAAGGAGCTCGCACGCTAGCTCATAACAATATGTTTTAATCAAATGGTGATATGACGAAAAATCTGAATCTGGTGATTGAATCTACAACTGATTCATGAACAATAAACAATAAAAAATGTAAACACAATTATCCGTGCTTTTGAAAAGATAATCAAATCATTGCTTCAAATACAATAGTTACTTCCTGGAACTGTTATCAGTGTTTCAGTCATTTGTCTATCTTTATCATGCATCCATTTAAATAAATGTTCAATATAATCAACATGTCCTTACATCAAACATCTTTCAAAATCATGTTGAAAGCGATTTTGTCTTTCAATATGATTGTGATTTTTTGATAATATCATATTCTAACTTGAAAAGACCAAGCTGGACTAACTGATAAATATCTAGGAAATGTAAGTGTATGTAAGTGTGTTGATATGAAAATGATATGCATTTCCAAATAAAGTAACCTTACCGGTACCTGTCCGGTATGTTAACAATAGACATCTATGAATGACTGTCCATAGATCATGCTGCATGCAAACAAACGCCACATCATTATGAACTTTGCTACAGGTACAAGATCGGTTAGCCAATAGCTTCCCCGAATTCCTATTTACTAATACATAGGAGAACAGATTAAGCTAGCTAGTAGTTCCCCCTATAAGCAATATGGAAGGGACAAGGAATCAGCTAGCCCATATTAGTTCCCCTATAAAATAATATAGAAGGGGTATTAGCTAACTAACCAATAGTTTTCCCCACGTAAGCTAATACAGAGAGGGGAAAATAATCAGCCAGCCAATAGTTACCCTTCTATAAAATAAGGTAGAGGCGGGGGGGGGGGACTTATTGGCTAGACAATAATATATCCCATTAGCCAATATAACACGGGGAAGGAATTAGCTAGCTTATGTCTTCCCACAGAGAAATAATCAACTAGTTAATATAGTGTTCCTACCAACTACATGTACATGGCTGATGTGCATCTTTACATAACATAACCATGGGATGGTATTTCTGCGAATGACACATATGAACTGCATATCACATGATTGCCGTATTATTCAAGAATTACACCAATGTAATTGTTGTGTTGCGTGTTTATCGATGAGAAATACAGCATTTGTGATGTCAGATAATGGCCATTTTTATTTCAAAAGTACTTCTTTTCATCAGATAAAAATATGTTTCCCTGAAAATATTGCTACCGAGGACATGTTCATATCATTTGACTTCAAAAAAAGTATTTTGGATACATTCAAAATTTTGCAAAATTCGGTAATAATTTTAGAATGTGTCACTCGGTAAGACGAAATTTGAATTTTTTCTCAAATGTCAATCTCAATAATTGTAATATACATGTGTATAAACAGTAATAGATAAAGAAATATCTAGGCTTGTTTTTGAAGTTTTGACAACAGTTGTAATATCTGAATGCGTTAAGATCTATTACCTGTGACGTTATAACAGAAAACACAAGCGGGGTAATTACTGCAATGACCAACTTGACCCCATCCGTTAAAGGAACAATCAGCTAGACTGTCCTCCGTACCGTTACAGTCTACACCTGCCATCCATACAGGATATGTAAGACTGCCATAACGGGTTGTCTGATAGAGATGATGACCGGTACTGAAAAATAAGTATAGAAATAAAGTAATTTGGCAATGTAAATATCTCCACAGGGATACCAAATGATGTATCTGAGAGTATATTAAAACCTTCATTATTACAAGCAATAATTTGTTGATCTCAAGTCTTAAGTGTTCATATGTTGGAAAATTGGCAATGGAGAAGTTTGGCTATTATCTTGCCATTTGGAAATATGCTAAATATGTGTTTTAAATGAAATAGGATGTTCTTGATAATGTTCATTTGTCTGCTTTGTTGGGTTTTTTCCCCCGGTTCTCGCTTTAAAGACGTGACATTTGTTAGATTTGACCTAGATTTACATGGCGGGTTTCATCAATGCAGCAGAAGATGCTTAACATTTTGCTTTTAAATTGTCGCAATAAAAGTACTTTGTTCGTGTTTGTGATAGGTACACAGTACATGTAGTTGTGTCAACAAACAAGAATTCTAATAACGTAATGTTCGTCTGCAAAACCTATTACATGTCTTGCTTTCAAACGAACTAAGCTTGTTTGACAACCAACCCTACCCTACCTTTTTAGTTTCTGCTTTTTTTTCGAAAACAATATTTGTCCAACTTTTATTGATTTCGAGTTGAATTTTTTACACTTAGCGTTCTCCTGTTGTTTAAGGACAGAAATATTGTGGATATCGATTCATTGATATTTATTATACATGTTCTGCTTGTACATTTTGATAGAAGGAAGGACATTTTATTTTTCGGCTTTTTAATTTACAAATAGTGCCATCTAGAAGAAAAATCCGTTAATTACCTGTATCCTAACATCCTGCAAGTTACATTAGCGTCCCTGTCATCCCAGTCGTAGTAACCACAAACGCTTCCCCAGTAACCACTATAGTACACTTCTATACGCCCCACATTGGGATCTGGACCTCCACTCAGGCGGATGTCAAAGTCTCTTTCTGTTAGAAATTATGTGAACAATAAAATAGCATTTGTATAGCTTCAGCACTTAACATTATCACGGTTAGTTATTTATTTATGATGTCAAAATACGACTTTTATAATTTAAAAAAATGTCTTTTTAAGGAGTTAAAAGTTTACTTTGTTTACTGAAGAAAGTAGTTGTCCAGACATTGAAAAAAATAAAGAATTTCGTTAGAGTTATATGATTTGTCATTCAGCAGATCGAAACTCATCTTTTTATAGTTTTGATAATAGTTCTTATTTTTCCATTGATTAAGATCCATTTTAACAAATCTTGAGCTACATTTAAAGTGATGAGCATAGATATATTAATACATTCATAGTAAGGATTGTCATTTCATTAAGTGACCTTAATTAACGTTAACATCATTTGAAATTTTTTGATTGCTGTTAACATACCCGTCACGTTATAACAGAAAACACTAGCGGGGTAACTATAGCAATAACCAACTTGACCCCATCCGTCAAAGGAACAATCAGCTAGACTGTCCTCCGTACCGTTACAGTCTACACCTGCCATCCATATTAGATCTGTTAGACTGCCATAACGGGTGGTTCGATATATTTGATGACCAGCACTGAAGAATAAAAATGAGAATAGTATAGATTTGTAAGAATATCTATTTCTTTATTTTTTTTTTATTTGCAAAATTCAAAAGCCAAAAGCTGATGGAAATAATTCCATAGATATATTACATAATCTCTAGACATTAAAATATTTTTTTTTACACAATCTTTATATTTCGAAATGTTATTTTACAAACTAAAGTAACCGTCTCGCAATCTTTTGGAAAACTGTGGTTAAAATTGCAGTCAGAAAATTTCATAAAATTAAAATTTCATTGACTTATATGTATGTTAAATAATAAACGTGCGATGCCTTTTGCTGGCTGCTTATTCTCTCACCAGAAGCATGCCTGAGGCCATGTTTGTGTCATTATTATGGGAATTCACGAGATTTCACGAGAGCAAAATCCAACGAATAGCGACTATATTTTCGACTGGGTCAAATGTCATGTTTTCACTAACAATGTGCTGAGTGTTCCATCAGCCGATTCAGATCTCACATGTCACGAAAGCTTCGCAACGCTTAGTGGTGGACCAACCATTTTCAACCTTCAGCGCATTCCATTGGTCTAGGGCTTCATCACTATAAATTTTTACTTTACTATGCTGTCGAACGGCTTCATGGTTTTGCCTATTTATCGCTGATTCTGTCTTCCTGCTTAGTCGACTATGTTTTAGCATGGACGTCAACATTACATGGGAAGTGTCTGTGCTTGCTTTACTTTATGTAAACTATTGAATTATGTACGGCACGTAAGAAAATAAAATAAAATTCCTCTTTATTTTATGCCTTTGGCACGTTTCAATTCCTGAATATGGCATTAGCGAAAAATGTAAGAAAATAGAAAAATGCCAGATCTATCCTTTCATAAGAAAAAATAGCAAAGGTTAGAGGCGAGGTATTTTAAATCATCAATGTGTATGTAACAATAAAACCAGCGATACAGTTAAATGGGGACTTTTGGCAATTTATATGGTCTCGCCATCAGGATCTCATTACAAAATAAGTAACATTTTAATCTGATATACAGTTGGATATTTTTGGTTTTGCTTCTGAGTATGCCTTATAGTTTTGTTGTTTCTATCCTTAATTTCGATTTAAAGTAATGGCACTTGGCGTTGATCCAGATTGACAAGGCGTGTGTCTTCGATGCAGAAGAAAACACTTACCCAACACTGATCATGCAAGTCCCTTCTTTGATCAAATTTTGCCCTAGTGGTATAGATTTGAAATTATGGTTCTATTGACACTTTGGTATTTTCCTTTTGTTATTAGGACGTACATATTTTGGAAGTTAAGAACAAATTAAGTTGGACGTGTATTATTCGTTATTCGGAGCAACGGGTAAATTCCTAATTATACTTACCAGGGCAGAAGTTAAGTTGGAATAACGAATAGCTGTCCCACTTTACTTTGCCGATACTTCGTCGATACATCTATCTTATTTTAAATATTCGTAAACGAACCGAAGGGTGTTCATTTATTTTATGAAATAATAATTTAACGTTTATTTACCGAAGGAATACACAATTGTGATGACTACATTTGTTCCTGTACGAGAGGATCAAAGTTGGCATCAACGTAGGACGCGATATCTGCTCTTTTCGTTAATGTCACCCACTCAATAGTATACATTTATTTTATAATAAAGGCCTTATAAAGTAGATATCTGTACATTACCTGTATCCTAACATCCTGCACGTAACCGAAGCGTCTTTGTAATCCCAGTCGTAGGGTTCACAAACACTTCCCCAGTAACCACTGTAGTATACTTCTACACGGCCCACATTGGAATCCGGACCTCCACTCAGGCGGATGTCAATATCTGTTCCTGCAATAAATAATCGTTACATAACGCAACCATGGTAACATTTCAGCGAATGAAAAGGATTTACTTCATAACATCACAGGGTTGCCATGATATGAAAGAAACACATCAATGAAACTATTGTTTTGTATCACCTCCCCCACCCCTATGAACACACTAGTTGTGGTGTCAAAAAAGTGACAATCTAATTCTTAAAATAAAATATTTCTTTCCACAAGGTTAGGATGTGTACCAAAATAGTATGGCTTAGAGAACATTCATCGTGTAAATTGATTGAAAATAAAACTTTTTGGGAAAGAGAGTAAATTTTAGAATTGCAGAATTTTACAGAATTCGGTGCTATTTTTTTAGAATTATTCTTTCCATGGAACACAATCTAAAACATTTCCTCAAATGCCAATTTCAATAAATGTGATATTAAATTAATAATGAGAGAAAACAAGTATACATATTAGGAAAACTTCGATACCTTGTAAAAGAAGAGCAATCTTCTTTAATACAAAAAGCAGTTGTCCTTTTTACCTTTATTAACGTTAAACATCATTTGAAATTATGTGCTTGCTATAAACATACCTGTCATGTTGTAACAGAAAACACTAGCGGGATAGCTATAACAATAATCACTTCGACCCCATCCGTCAAAGGAACAATCAGCTAGACTGTCTTCCGTACCGTTACAGTCTACACCTGCCATCCATATAAGATCAGTAAGACTGCCATAACGAGTGGTGCGATATATTTGATGGCCAGCACTGAAAATTAAATATAACATAAAAAATATTTGTCAGAACATCTTTAGCAAATATTTTCGAAAATTTAAAAGTATTTGAAAATAAATTCATAGACATATTACATCATCATTAGACATTAAATATAGTGTTTTTATACAAAATCATTATATTCCGAAGAGTCATTTCAAGAATTAATGTTACCGTCCCGTAATTTGTTGGAAAACTATGGTTAAAATTGCAGTCATGAAAGTTAATAAATATTAAGTAGACGGAGTTGAAAAGATTATAATTTCAATGACTTATATTTACGTTACGGCACGTCAGAAATGAAATCAAATTCCATTTTATTTTATGTCTTTGACACGTTTCAATCCTGAATCTGGTATAAACGAAAAATGTATCACATTTGCTTTGTAAAAAAGATATGAAATGCCAGATCTACCCTTTTACCAGAAAAAAATAGCAAAGGTTAGAGGCAAGGCGCTTTTAAGTCATCAGAGTAAATATGTCAGAAATACAGCTAAATGGGGACTATGGGCAATTTATATGGTCTCGGTATCATAATATCATTATAAAATATGTTATTTCTTAATCTGATATAGAGATGGACATTTTTGTTTATGCTTATTAGTATGCCTTACTATTTCGTTATCTCTATCCTGAATTCCGATTTGAAGACGAATTAGACACTGATCATGCAAATCCCTCCTTTGTTCATATTTTGCCCAAGTGGTATAGATTTGAAATTATGGTTCTATTGATACTTTGGTATTTTCCTTTTGCAACTAAGACGTAAATGTTTTTGATATTTAGGACAAATGAAGTTGGACATGTATTATTTGTTATTCGGAGTAGTGGGTACCTTTCTATTTTTAGTTACCGGGCCAAAAGTAAAGTTAACGAATAAGTATACCACTTCACTTGGCAGATACTCACTACACCTATCTTTTTTCTAATATTCGTAAAAGAAAAGAAGGAGTGATCATTCATGTTATGATACAAAATGAAAGGTATATTTACCGGAGAAATACACAATGGTGATGATTACATTTGTAAATATCCGTGACGTAATAGTTGGCATCAACGTAGGTCTCGATATCTGCTGCTTTTCTATATGTCGCCAACTCAATAGTATTTTACGAAAAATGCACAATAAGGTCAATATCTGTACATTACCTGTATCCTAACATCCTGCACGTAACCGAAGCGTCTTTGTAATCCCAGTCGTAGGAGTCACAAACACTTCCCCAGTAACCACTGTAGTATACTTCTACACGGCCCACATTGGGATCCGGACCACCACTCAAGCGGATGTCAAAGTCTGTTTCTGTTAGGAATTATGTTTACATTAAACAACAATGATATAGCATTGGTAAATTGCATTACTTCATCAATTAACATTATCTCGTTTAGTAATTTATTTGTAATGTAAAAATTATGACTTTTTTAATTAATAAAATGACTGTATAGGAAGTTAACAAGTTTACTTTACTTTATCACTGAAGAAAGTAGTTGTTCAGATATTCAAAACATTTAAAGAATTGCGTTCGAGTTTTATGATTTGCCATTCCAGAGATCGAAACTCGTTTTTTTATAGTTTCGATAATAGTTCTTATTTTTCCATTGATTAAGATCCATTTTAACAAATCTTGCGCTACATTAAATGTGACGAGCAAAGATATATTGATACAAATGTATTTATAGTAAAGGATTGTCGTTACCCTAAGTGACCTTAATTAACGTTAAACATCATTTGAAATTTTGTGATTGCTATTTACATACCTGTCACGTTATGACAGACAACACAAGCGGGGTAACTACTGCAATAACCAACTCGACCCCATCCGTCAAAGGAACAATCAGCTAGACTGTCCTCCGTACCGTTACAGTCTACACCTGCCATCCATATTAGATCAGTTAGACTGCCATAACGGGTGGTCCGATATATTTGATGACCAGCACTGAAAGATAAATATGAGAATAGTGTAGATTTGTAAGAATATCTATAGCAATTGTTTTGCAAAATTCAAAAGCCAAAAGCTGATGAAAGTAATTTCATAGACATACTACAAAATCCTTAGATATTTAAAATAGTGTTTGTACACAAAATCTTTATATTTCTAACAGGTATTTAAGAAACTAAAGTAACCGTCTGGCAATCTTTTGAAAAACTTTGGTTAAAATTGAAGTCAGGAAAATATCATGAATACTATAAGTATATTTGGTTGAAAAGATTAAAATGTCTTCGACTTATGTTTATGTTAAATAATACACGTGCGAGGCCCTTTGCTGTCTGCTTATTCTCTCACCAGAAGCATGCCTGAGGCCATGTTTGTGTCATTATTATGGGAATTCACGAGATTTCACGAGAGCAAAAACCAACGATTAGCGACCAAATTTTCGACTGGGTCAAATGTCATGTTTTCACTATGAATGTGTGAGTGTTCCATCAGCCGATTTAGATCTCACATGTCACGAAAGCTTCGCAACGCTTAGTTGTGGACAAACCATTTCCAACCTTCAGCGTATTCCATTTGTCTAGTGCTTCATCGATGTTACCTTTGACTTTACTATGCTGTCGAACGTCTTCAAGGTTTTGCCGATCTCTCGCCAATTCTGTCTCCCGGCTTGGTCGACTATGTTTTAGCATGGGCGTCAACATTACATCGAAAGTGTCTTTGCTTGCTTTACTTTATGTAAACTATTGAGTTATTTACGGCGAGTACGAAAATAGTATCAAATTCCTCTTTATTCGATGTCTTTGATATGTTTCAATTCCTGAAACTGGCATTAACGAAAAAGTTACCACTTTTGCTAAGTAAGAAAATAGAAAATGCCAGATCTATCCTTTTATAAGAAAAATAGCAAAGGTTAGAGGCGAGGTATTTTAAATCATCAATGTTTATGTAACTATAAAATCAGCAATACAGTTAAATGGGGACTTTGGGCAATTTATATATGGTCTCGCCATCAGGATCTCATTACAAAATAAGTAACATTTTAATCTGATATAAAGTTGGATATTTTTGTTTATGCTTATTAGTATGTTAAAAGAGAAGAAATTGTTTTGTATGTCACATTAATAATGTTTATTTAGCGAAGGGAACCTTCCAGATAGTTTACATTCTGTTGATGTCCGTAATGTTACAAGACGAGAACAGCACGTGAAGCTATTTCTTCTTTTCCTGTTAATATCTCTCAGCTGTTTGTTTTTATTAATAGGGTATTATTTTAAACTAGATTTAATATCCTTGAATTACCTGTATCCTAACATCCTGCACGTTACATTAGCATCTCTGCCGTCCCAGTCGTAGTAACCACAAACACTTCCCCAGTAACCACTGTAGTACACTTCTACACGGCCCAAATTAGGTTCTGGACCTCCACTCAGGCGAATTTCAATATCTGGTGCTGTTAGAAATTATGTTTACATAGCATAACAATGGAACTGCACTTCAGTGCATGAACAGTGTTAACATCATAACATCAAATGGTTATCATTATTTGCAAGAAATACATTGATGCAAACTTTGTGTTCCATACATTTTCTTTGATTATCAAAAGAAGTTGTTATATTCACAAAATGTTAAATTAAAAAAAAAAGTTGTTCGTTAGAGAAATGTGTTATTCACAAAATGTAAAGGCTCAAGACAATATATACGTATCAATCTAATTAATATATTACCCCTTTTCAGAAGGAACTTGTTTTTTGGATTGTAAACATTTTAAAGAATTCTGTTTAAGATGTATCTCCCAAAAGATATAAGTTTATAAGTTTTCCTCCAATGTAATGTTCAGTAAATGATTCATTTTGAAAAGATCAGAAACGGCAGTATTTGTTTTTTTATCGACTTTTTTATTATTGAAATTTTAATAACTTCATACATTAAGAACTAGGACAGTCTAACTTACAACAAATGGGTTTTTTGATGGGAAATCTTTCTTCACTTTGAAGGCCGATGTTTTTTTGGGTTTTTTTTTTTTTTTTTTTTTTCCGTAAAAGGGGTTTGCCCTCCCAAAGATCTACATATAAAACATGTTTTCATCCATCATGCTCAATGGAAGGAAAGCATACAAAGTGTGTTTTTTTTATTTTGTTGTACACATACTGTCGTAATAAGGACACGTACATGTACACGGCTGATGTGCATCTTTACATTACATAACCATGGGATGGTATTTCTGCGAATGACACATACTAACTGCATATCACATGATTGCCATATTATTCAAGAATTACACCAATGTAATTTTTGTGTTGCGTAGTTATCGATGAGAAATACAGCATTTGTGATGTCAGATAATGGCCATTGTTATTCAAAAATACTTCCTTCCATCAGATAAAAATATGTTTCCCTGAAAATATTGCTACCGAGGACATGTTCAATTCATTTGACTTCAAAAAAAGTATTTTGGATACATTCAAAATTTTGCAAACTTCGGTAATAATTTTAGAATTTGTCCTTCGGTAAGTCGAAATATGAAATTTTTCTCAAATGTCAATCTCCATAATTGTAATATACATGTGTATAAACAGTAATAGAAAAAAAAATATCTAGGCTTGTTTTTGAAGTTTTGACAACAGTTGTAATATCTGAATGCGTTAAGATCTATTACCTGTGATGTTGTAACAGAAAACACAAGCGGGGTAACTACTGCAATAACCAATTCGACCCCATCCGTCAAAGGAACAATCAGCTAGGCTGTCCTCCGTACCGTTACAGTCTACACCTGCCATCCATATAAGATCAGTAAGACTGCCATAACGAGTGGTGCGATATATTTGATGGCCAGCACTGAAAATTAAATATAACATAAAAAAGATTTGTAAGAGTATCTTTAGCAAATATTTTTGAAAATTTAAATGTAGATGAAAATAATTTCATAGACATATTACATAATCATTAGATATTAAATATAGTGTTTTTACACAAAATCATTATATTCCGAAGAGTTATTTCAAGAATTAATGTTACCGTCCCGTAATTTGTTGGAAAACTGTGGTTAAAATTGCAGTCATGAAAGTTGATAAATATTAAGTATACGGAGTTGAAAAAATTAAAATTTCAATGACTTATATTTACGTTACGGCACGTCAGAAATGAAATCAAATTCCATTTTATTTTATATCTTTGACACGTTTCAATCCTGAATCTGGTATAAACGAAAAATGTATCACATTTGCTTTGTAAAAAAGATATGAAATGCCAGATCTACCCTTTTACCAGAAAAAATAGCAAAGGTTAGAGGCAAGGCACTTTTAAGTCATCAGAGTAAATAAGTCAGAGATACATTTAAATGGGGACTATGGGCAATTTACATGGTCTCGGCATCATGATCTCATTATAAGATATGTTATTTCTTAATCTGATATAGAGATGGACATTTTTGTTTATGCTTAAAAGTATGCCTTACTATTTCGTTATCTCTATCCTGGATTCCGATTTGAAGACGAAGAAGACACTGATCATGCAAATCCCTCCTTTGTTCATATTTTGCCCAAGTGGTATAGATTTGAAATTATGGTTCTATTGATACTTTGGTATTTTTTCTTTGCAATTAAGACGTAAATGGACAAATGAAGTTGGACATGTATTATTTGTTATTCGGAGTAACGGGTACCTTTCTATTTTTATTTACCGGGCCAAAATTAAAGTTAACGAATAATTATACCACTTCACTTGGCAGATACTCACTACAACTATCTTTTTTCGAATATTCGAAAAAGAAATGAAGGAATGATCATTCATGTAATGATACAAAGTGAAAGGTATACTTACTGGAGGAATACACAATGGTGATGATTACATTTGTAAATATCCGTGACGTTAAAAGTTGGCATCAACGTAGGTCTCGATATCTGCTGCTTTTCTATATGCCGCCAACTCAATAGTATTTTACGAAAAATGCACAATAAGGTAAATATCTGTACATTACCTGTATCCCAACATCCTGCACGTAACCGAAGCGTCTTTGTAATCCCAGTCGTAGGAGTCACAAACACTTCCCCAGTAACCACTGTAGTATACTTCTACACGGCCCACATTGGGATCCGGACCACCACTCAGGCGGATGTCAAAGTCTGTTTCTGTTAGAAATTATGTTTACATTAAACTACAATGATATAGCATTGGTAAATTGCATTACTTCATCAATTAACATTATCTCGTTTAGTAATTTATTTGTGATGTAAAAATATGACTTTTTTAATTAAACAAATGACTGTATAAGAAGTTAAAATGTTTACTTTTTTTCTGAAGAAAATAGTTGTTCAGATATTCAAAACATTCAAAGAATTGCGTTCGAGTTTTATGATTTGCCATTCCGGAGATCGAAACTCGTTTTTTTATAGTGTCGATAATAATTCTTAATTCTCCATTGATTAAGATCAAGTTTAACAAATCTTGCGCTACATTAAAAGTGATGAGCATATATATATTGATACAAATGTATATATAATAAAGGATTGTCGTTACCCTAAGTGACCTTAATAAACGTTAAACATCATTTGAAATTCTGTGATTGCTATTTACATACCTGTCACGTTATGACAGAAAACACTAGCGGGGTAACTACTGCAATAACCAACTCGACCCCATCCGTCAAAGGAACAATCAGCTAGACTGTCCTCCGTACCGTTACAGTCTACACCTGCCATCCATACAGGATCTGTAAGACGGCCATAACGGGTGGTCCGATATATTTGATGACCAGCACTGAAAGATAAATATGAGAATAGTGTAGATTTGTAAGAATATCTATAGCAATTGTTTTGCAAAATTCAAAAGCCAAAAGCTGATTAAAGTAATTTCATAGACATACTACATAATCCTTAGATATTTAAAATAGTGTTTGTACACAAAATCTTTATATTTCTAACAGGTATTTAAGAAACTAAAGTAACCGTCTCGCAATCTTTTGAAAAACTTTGGTTAAAACTGATTCAGGAAAATATCATGAATACTATAAGTATATTTGGTTGAAAAGATTAAAATGTCTTTGACTTATATTTATGTTAAATAATACACGTGCGAGGCCCTTTGCTGTCTGCTTATTCTCTCACCAGAAGCATGCCTGAGGCCATATTTGTGTCATTATTATGGGAATTCACGAGATTTCACGAGAGCAAAAACCAACGATTAGCGACCAAATTTTCGACTGGGTCAAATGTCATGTTTTCACTATGAATGTGTGAGTGTTCCATCAGCCGATTTAGATCTCACATGTCACGAAAGCTTCGCAACGCTTAGTTGTGGACAAACCATTTCCAACCTTCAGCGTATTCCATTTGTCTAGTGCTTCATCGATGTTACCTTTGACTTTACTATGCTGTCGAACGTCTTCAAGGTTTTGCCGATCTCTCGCCAATTCTGTCTCCCGGCTTGGTCGACTATGTTTTAGCATGGGCGTCAACATTACATCGAAAGTGTCTTTGCTTGCTTTACTTTATGTAAACTATTGAGTTATTTACGGCGAGTACGAAAATAGTATCAAATTCCTCTTTATTCGATGTCTTTGATATGTTTCAATTCCTGAAACTGGCATTAACGAAAAAGTTACCACTTTTGCTAAGTAAGAAAATAGAAAATGCCAGATCTATCCTTTTATAAGAAAAATAGCAAAGGTTAGAGGCGAGGTATTTTAAATCATCAATGTTTATGTAACTATAAAATCAGCAATACAGTTAAATGGGGACTTTGGGCAATTTATATATGGTCTCGCCATCAGGATCTCATTACAAAATAAGTAACATTTTAATCTGATATAAAGTTGGATATTTTTGTTTATGCTTATTAGTATGTTAAAAGAGAAGAAATTGTTTTGTATGTCACATTAATAATGTTTATTTAGCGAAGGGAACCTTCCAGATAGTTTACATTCTGTTGATGTCCGTAATGTTACAAGACGAGAACAGCACGTGAAGCTATTTCTTCTTTTCCTGTTAATATCTCTCAGCTGTTTGTTTTTATTAATAGGGTATTATTTTAAACTAGATTTAATATCCTTGAATTACCTGTATCCTAACATCCTGCACGTTACATTAGCATCTCTGTCGTCCCAGTCGTAGTAACCACAAACACTTCCCCAGTAACCACTGTAGTACACTTCTACACGGCCCAAATTAGGTTCTGGACCTCCACTCAGGCGAATTTCAATATCTGCTGCTGTTAGAAATTATGTTTACATAGCATAACAATGGAACTGCACTTCAGTGCATGAACAGTGTTAACATCATAACATCAAATGGTTATCATTATTTGAAAGAAATACATTGATGCAAACTTTGTGTTCCATACATTTTCTGTGATTATCAAAAGAAGTTGTTATATTCACATAATGTTAAATTAAAAAAAAAAATTGTTCGTTAGAGAAATGTGTTATTCACAAAATGTAAAGGCTCAAGACAATATATACGTATCAATCTAATTAATATGTTACCCCTTTTCAGAAGGAACTTGTTTTTTGGATTGTAAACATTTTAAAGAATTCTGTTTAAGATGTATCTCCAAAAAGATATAAGTTTATAAGTTTTCCTCCAATGTAATGTTCAGTAAATGATTCATTTTGAAAAGATCAGAAACGGTAGTATTTGTTTTTTTATCGACTTTTTTTATTGAAATTTTAATAACTTCATACATTAAGAACTAGGACAGCCTAACTTACAAGAAATGGGTTTTTTGATGGGAAATTTTTCTTCACTTTGAAGGCCGATGTTTTTTGGGGGTTTCTTTGTTTTTTTTGCCCGTAAAAAGGGTTTGCCCTCCCAAAGATCTACATATAAAACATGTTTTCATCCATCATGCTCAATGGAAGGAAAGCATACAAAGTGTGTGTTTTTTTTTATTTTGTTGTACACATACTGTCGTAATAAGGACACGTACATGTACACGGCTGATGTGCATCTTTACATTACATAACCATGGGATGGTATTTCTGCGAATGACACATACTAACTGCATATCACATGATTGCCATATTATTCAAGAATTACACCAATGTAATTTTTGTGTTGCGTAGTTATCGATGAGAAATACAGCATTTGTGATGTCAGATAATGGCCATTGTTATTCAAAAATACTTCCTTTCATCAGATAAAAATATGTTTCCCTGAAAATATTGCTACCGAGGACATGTTCAATTCATTTGACTTCAAAAAAAGTATTTTGGATACATTCAAAATTTTGCAAAATTCGGTAATAAATTTAGAATTTGTCCTTCGGTAAGTCGAAATATGTATTTTTTCTCAAATGTCAATCTCCATAATTGTAATATACATGTGTATAAACAGTAATAGAAAAAGAAATATCTAGGCTTGTTTTTGAAGTTTTGACAACAGTTGTAATATCTGAATGCGTTAAGATCTATTACCTGTGACGTTATAACAGAAAACACAAGCGGGGTAATTACTGCAATAACCAACTCGACCCCATCCGTCAAGGGAACAATCAGCTAGACTGTCCTCCGTACCGTTACAGTCTACACCTGTCATCCATATTAGATCAGTTAGACTACCATAACGGGTGGTCCGATATATTTGATGACCAGCACTGAAAGATAAATATGAGAACAGTGTAGATTTGTAAGGATATCTATAGCATTTGTTTTGCAAAATTCAAAAGCCAAAAGCTGATGAAAGTAATTTCATAGACATACTACATAATCCTTAGATATTTAAAATAGTGTTTGTACACAAAATCTTTATATTTCAAACAGGTATTTAAGAAACTAAAGTAACCGTCTCGCAATCTTTTGAAAAACTTTGGTTAAAATTGAAGTCAGGAAATTTCAAAAACATTATAAGTATATTTGGTTGAAAAGATTAAAATGTCTTTGACTTATATTTATGTTAAATAATACACGTGCGAGGCCCTTTGCTGTCTTCTTATTCTCTCAACAGAAGCATGCCTGAGGCCATGTTTGTGTCATTATTATGGGAATTTTACGAGATTTCACGAGAGCAAAAACCAACGATTAGCGACCAAATTTTCGACTGGGTCAAATGTCATGTTTTCATTATGAATGTGTAAGTGTTCCATCAGCCGATTCAGATCTCACATGTCACGAAAACTTCGCAACGCTTAGTGGTGGACAAACCATGTCCAACCTTCAGCGTATTCTATTTGTCTAGTGCTTATTCGATGTTAACTTTTACTTTACTATGCTGTCGAACGTCTTCAAGGTTTTGCCGATCTCTCGCCAATTCCGTCTGCTAAAACATAGTCGACCAAGCCGGTCGACTATGTTTTAGCATGGGCGTCAACATTACATCGAAAGTGTCTTTGCTTGCTTTACTTTATGTAAACTATTGAATTATTTACGGCGAGTACGAAAATACAATCAAATCCCTCATTATTCTATGTCTTTGACATGTTTCAATTCCTGAAACTGGCATTAACGGAAAAGTTACCACTTTTGCTAAGTAAGAAAATAGAAAATGCCAGATCTATCCTTTTATAAGAAAAATAGCAAAGGTTAGAGGCGAGGTATTTTAAATCATCAATGTTTATGTAACTATAAAATCAGCGATACAGTTAAATGGGGACTTTGGGCAATTTATATATGGTCTCGCCATCAGGATCTCATTACAAAATAAGTAACATTTTAATCTGATATAAAGTTGGATATTTTTGTTTATGCTTATTAGTATGTTAAAAGAGAAGAAATTGTTTTGTATGTCACATTAATAATGTTTGTTTAGCGAAGGGAACCTTCCAGATAGTTTATATTCTGTTGATGTCCGTAATGTTACAAGACGAGAACAGCACGTGAAGCTATTTCTTCTTTTCTTGTTAATATCTCTCAGCTGTTTGTTTTTATTAATAGGGTATCATTTTAGACTAGATTTAATATCCTTGAATTACCTGTATCCTAACATCCTGCACGTTACAGTAGCATCTCTGTCGTCCCAGTCGTAGTAACCACAAACACTTCCCCAGTAACCACTGTAGTACACTTCTACACGGCCCAAATTAGGTTCTGGACCTCCACTCAGGCGAATTTCAATATCTGCTGCTGTTAGAAATTATGTTTACATAGCATAACAATGGAAATGCACTTCAGTGCATGAACAGTGTTAACATCATAACATCAAATGGTTATCATTATTTGCAAGAAATACATTGATGCAAACTTTATGTTCCATTCATTTTCTGTGATTATCAAAAGAAGTTGTTATATTCACAAAATGTTAAATTAAAAAAAAAAGTTGTTCGTTAGAGAAATGTGTTATTCACAAAATGTAAAGGCTCAAGACAATATATACGTATCAATCTAATTAATATATTACCCCTTTTCAGAAGGAACTTGTTTTTTGGATTGTAAACATTTTAAAGAATTCTGTTTAAGATGTATCTCCAAAAAGATATAAGTTTATAAGTTTTCCTCCAATGTAATGTTCAGTAAATGATTCATTTTGAAAAGATCAGAAACGGTAGTATTTGTTTTTTTATCGACTTTTTTATTATTGAAATTATATTAACTTCATACATTAAGAACTAGGACAGTCTAACTTACAACAAATGGGTTTTTGATGGGAAATCTTTCTATGAAGGCCGATGGTTTTTTTTTCTTTTATTTTTTTTGATATTTTGCCCGTTAAAGGGGTTTGCATAGATCTACATATAAAACATGTCTTCATCCATCATGCTCAATGGAAGGAAAGCATACAAAGTGGTTTTTTTATTTTATTTTGTTGTACACATACTGTCGTAATACGGACACGTACATGTACACGGCTGATGTGCATCTTTACATTACATAACCATGGGATGGTATTTCTGCGAATGACACACATTAACTGCACATCACATGATTGCCGTATTATTCAAGAATTACACCAATGTAATTTTTATGTTGCGTATTTATCGATGAGAAATACAGCATTTGTGATGTCAGATAATGGCCATTTTTATTCCAAATGTACTTCTTTTCATCAGATAAAAATATGTTTCCCTGAAAATATTGCTACCGAGGACATGTCCATGTCATTTGACTTCAAAATACGTATTTTGGATACATTCAAAATTTTGCAAAACTCGGTAATAATTTTAGAATTTGACCTTCGGTAAGTCGAAATATGAAATTTTTCTCAAATGTCAATCTCAATAATTGTAATATACATGTGTATAAACAGTAATAGAAAAAGAAATATCTAGGCTTGTTTTTGAAGTTTTGACAACAGTTGTAATATCTGAATGCGTTAAGATCTATTACCTGTGACGTTATAACAGAAAACACAAGCGGGGTAATTACTGCAATAACCAACTTGACCCCATCCGTCAAAGGAACAATTAGCTAGACTGTCCTCCGTACCGTTACAGTCTACACCTGCCATCCATACAGGATCTGTAAGACTGCCATAACGGGTTGTCTGATAGATATGATAACCGTTACTGAAAAGTAAGTATAGAAATAAAGTAATTTGGCAATGTAAATATCTCCACAGGGATACCAAATGATACCTTGATATTGTATCTGAGAGTATATTAAAACCTTAATTATTACAAGCAATAATTTGTTTATTTCAAGTCCTAAGTGTTCATATGTTGGAAAATTGGCAATGAGGAAGTTTGGTCATTATCTTGCCATTGGGAAATATGCTAAATACGTGTTTTAAATGAAATAGGATGTTCTTGATAATGTTCATTCGTCTGCTTTGTTGGTGTTTTCCCCCCGGTTCTCGCTTTAAGGACCTGACATTTGTTAGATTTGACCTAGATTTGCATGGCGGGTCTCATCAATGCAGCAGAAGATGCTTAACATTTTACTTTTAAATTATCGCAATAAAAGTACTTTTTTCATGTTTGTGATAGGTACACAGTACATTTAGCTGTGTCAACAAACAAGAATTCTAATAACGAAATGTTCGTCTGCAAAACCTATTACATGTCTTGCTTGCAAACTAACTAAGCTTGTTTGACAACCATCCCTACCCTACCTTTATAGTTTCTACTTTTTTTTCGAAAACAATATTTGTCCAACTTTTATTGATTTCGAGTTGAAATTTTTACACTTAGCATTCTCCTGTTGTTTAAGGACATAAATGTTTTGGATATCAATTCATTGATATTTATTATACATGTTCTACTTGTTCATTTTGATAGAAGGAAGGACATTTTATTTTTCGGCTTTTTAATTTACAAATAGTGCCAACTAGAGGAACAATCCGTGAATTACCTGTAGCCTATCATCCTGCACGTTACATTAGCGTCCCTGTAATCCCAGTCGTTGTAACCACAAACACTTCCCCAGTAGCCACTGTAGTACACTTCTACACGGCCCGCATTGGGATCCAGACCTCCACTCAGGCGAATGTCAATGTCTGTTTCTGTTAGAAATTATATTTACATTAAGCAACAAGGAGCTAGCACGCTAGCTCATTAACATATACTTTCATCACATAGCCATATGACGAAATATCTGAGTATGGTGATTGAATCTACAACTGATTCAGGAACAATAAATCAAGTCTTTAGACACAATTATCCATACTTTGAGATAGACACTTTTAAAAAGATAAAAAGATAATTACTTCGAATACAGTGGTAATTTCCTGGAACTGTTATCAGTGTTTCAGTTATTTGTTAATCTTTATCATGATGATAAATGTTCACTATAACCAACATGTTCTTACATCAAACTTCTTTTAACATCATATTGAAAACGATTTTGTCATTTCTTGATAATAACATGTTATTACTTGAAAAGACCAAGCTGGACTAACTGATAAATATCCAGGATTCACTATGTAAGTGTTTTTACAAAAACATGATGGGAATTTCCAAATAAAGTAACACTACCTGTACCAGTTAGTTAACAATAGACTTCTATGACTGTCCATATATCATGCTGCATGTAAACAATCGCCACGTCATTATGAACTTTGTTACCGGTACACGATCGGTTAGCCAATAGCTTTCCCCCTATTCCTAGTTATTAATACATAGGAGAAAAGAATCAGCTAGCTAATAGTTCCACCCTATTATCCAATACTAATAAATAGTCAAGAATAGCTAGCCAATAGAAATCCCCTTATAAAGCACTACTGAGAGAGGAAAAAATAGCTAGCTTATGTATAGTTTTACTACAAGCTAGTGCAGGGGTTAGGGTGGGAAAGATTAAGCGAATGAATAGAAGTCCCCCTATAAGCAATATGGAGTGGAGCAAGGAATCAGCTAGCCCGTATTAGTTCCCCTTGAAAGTAATACAGATGTGGGGGAAAAGAGCTAACTAGTCAAAAGTTGTTCCCCTATAAGCTAACACAGAGAGAGAAAAGGAAACATCTAGGCCATATTAGTTTCCCTCGTTACACTAATATAGAAGAGCGGATTAGCTAACTAACCAATAGTTTTCCCACTATAAACTAATACATAGAGTGGAAAAGAATCAGCCAGACAATAGTTTCCACCCTAAAGACTTAAGAAGAGAGGGAAAGTATTGCCTAGACAATAATATCTCCCATTAACTAATATTACACCGGGAAGGAATTAAGCACACACACACCCCCCCCCCTCCCCCTAATATAGAGGAGGGAATAATTATCTGGCAAATGGTTTCCCCTATTAACTAAAAAACAGAGAGTATTAGCCTATAATGTCCCCATTAACTACTACTACGGGGTTGGTAATTAGCTAGCTTTTTTCCCCGTGGTAAAATATTAACTAGTGGGGAATCAACTAACTGATTCATTCTCCAAGGGAAAAATCAGCAAGCCTTTTTTTTTGCTCCGGGTTGATTTTTTTCCCCTGGAAAACTTTCAGATTGGGAAATAAATGACTTCTACAACGGTATATTGTAGCTGTCAATTCTTAACACAAAATAACACCCATTATTGACATTAATACAAATAGGTTCTGTAAGTACCTTTTAGAAAGAGAAAAAAAACTCAAACTGTCACTTCTGTGAGAACATAGACAGATCTTTGAACTACGAACCTTGATCAGTCCATGCTCTTGTGGAAAAGTCACTTTTCGGCTTTTAATCTTTACGTAAAATTCCGCAAAAAATTCCACATGCGATTTATAAAGATGCACGAATTTTTAAACATTATATATATATCTGACCATTGCCAACCCGTAAATTCTAAACCGAATCAAATTAAGGGGATTTTTTTTTGGATAAAAGTCACCTTGGTCTCCTTGGAAACATATTACGCCTGCATCTTCACCATGGTCACAGTCCTCAATTCCCCAACCACTAAACTGACACTCATAAAGACTTTGTTCCGATCCGTCACATGCGACTTCATCCATCCAGATCGATCCTGTGCCAGCACCAAAGTACGCAGAACCAACATTCTGTCCATGGCTATAATCAAATAACGTACTTGTAACTTCTTCACCGACTATGTTTTAGTTCATAATTATATTTTACATAAGCAATTAGGCCATAAGCAATGTGATCGAAGGTATATATGTTAATGAATGAAGGATTACCAACACAGGCTTTCATACCTAAAACATCTCTCTACCATAGTCATGTTTTTGTTTTGATAATAAGGTATACATGTATTTAGATTTGACAAACAGGATCCAGACAATGTTTAATATCAATACATTTGAAGAATGACTAAGTTTTTTTAAACCAAATAGGTTTGTAATTTTGACGCAGAAGAAGGCGAGCGTTTAAAACAATCACTCAGTTTATAAGCATACATTATATTTTGTTTTATATATATTTTTATCTTACAAAATTAAAAATATATGTGTTAGGATGTGTAACTGATATAAAAGATATAATATGTCTCTTGATGAATTAGAGTTTTATCTCTCTCGACTAGGGTTTGATATTCATTTTGTTTGTAATACCATGTAATGGCCATTTCATGTTATATTAGAGTAGTTTTGTTGTTGAATTCTAACGTACCGTTATGAATTGTTAAAAAAGCTCGTCGCAGTATCAAGGGGCTAATGGGAGAACTGCAACTAAGCTTTGAATTGAGTTTCAACAATCGTATTAAGTCTCAAATTACGATCGGAATACATGTATTATTCGTATCCGTATTTTAACCGAAG